ACTGGAAGGGACCTTGAAAGGTCATTGAGTCCAGCCCCCTATCTTCACTAGCAGGACTAAGTACTGATTTTGCCCCAGATCCCTAAGTGGCCCCCTCAAGGATTAAACTCACAACCTCTGGGTTTAGCAGGCCAATGCTCAAACCACTGAGCAATCCCTCCCCGCAAGGGATGTCCCATCATAGGACAATGTTAATTATCTTTGCCCTTTCCACAGCTAATGAGGCAAAGTAACTTTTAAGAGGCTCTAGTGGCCAAATTTCCTTCTCCTCTCACTTACAATAGTTTTCTATTGATTGCAGCAGGGTTACTCCCTCTGTATGCTGGTGTGAGTGAGATCAGACTTAAGCAGACTTTGGCTCGAGCCATTTCTGTAGGTGATTGTGGCATGTTTTTATTTCTTGTACTTAGTCTTCTGTCACTGTTCACTTGAGGACTGGCCAGCGGTGATGGCCCAGGATCAGAATGTGCGGCTCTGTCAGAGGGCAGAGTCACCGAGCGGTCTAGAGAAGTGAGGGAATCCTTGTCTATTCACAAGGGTGGGAGGAGGAATTGACAAATAAAAGCCTCGCTCTTTTCACTAGTGACTCATGTGCCAACAATTAACAGAGGTTTTCAGCTACCTTGTGCTGTGATATCACACAAAAAGCCCACGCAGTCATTAGAGCAGTTATCACTTAGCACAACTCATTCACCAACCAACATGCTCTCTGCTCTTGGTAGTGTGTCCTGAGAATAAACAGATGTCATTACACAACAAAGAAGCGGATGCTCTATTCCCAAATTGTATGTTATTTCAGGCTCTTTGGCCAGCATGGCCAATTTTTTCTTCCCAATGGCCATAGTCAGTTCTTTACCTAGTGTGCTCACCTCAGTAGGGTATATCTGTCCACTGCAAAGAAGGCTTCCGTACATGGTGGCTCCATGGTCCCCTTTCCCTGTCTTTTCCCCATTGCAGGCAGGGTTGCCAGGTGTCCGGTTTTCGACCAGAACGCTCGGTTGAAAAGGGACCCTGGCAGCTCCAGTCAGCACCGCCGACCAGGCCATTAAAAGTCCAGTCAGCGGTGTTGCGGGTCTAAGGCAGGCTGGTCCCTATGTGTCCTGGCATCGCACTGTGCCCCGGAAGCAGCCAGCAGCTCCGGCCCCTAGACGGGGGGGAGGCACAGGGCTCCATGTGCTGTCCCCGCCCCAAGCACCGGCTCCGCACTCTCATTGGCTGGGAACCGTGGCCCCTGCCCCACCTAGGAACCGTACCTGCTGGCCGCTTCCGGGGTGCAGCGTGGAGCCAGGACTGGCAGGGAGCTGCCTTAGTCCCGCTGCGTCGTGGACTGGGAGCCACCCAAGGTAAGCCCATGCCCCAACCCCCTGCCCCAGCCCTGACCCCCAGAATCCCAGAGCCACCTCCTGCACCCCAAGCCCCTCATCCCCAGGCCCACCCCAGAGCCATCACACCCCCCTCCCCAAGCCCCAACCCTCTGCCCCAGCCCAGAGCCCCCTCCTACACCCTGAACTCCTCATCCCCAGCCCCAACCCAGAGCCCACACTCCCTCTCATCCCAACCCCCTGCCTCAACCTGCAGCCCCCTCCCACATTCCGAATCCCTCATCCCTACCCCCAGCCTGGAGCCCCATCCTGCACCCCAAACTCCTCATCTCCAGCCCCATCCCAGAGCTTGGACCCCCAGCTGGAGCCTTCACCCCCCACACACACACACACACACTCCAACTCCCTGCCCCAACCCGGAGCCTCCTCCCGCACCCTGAACCCCTCATTTCTGGCCCCACCCCAGAGCCCACACCCCCAGTTACAGCCCTCACCTCATCCCGCACCCCAACCTCCTGCCCCAGCCCAGTGACGGTGGGAGAGAGCAAGCCACCGAGGGAGGGGGAATGTAATGAGTGGGAGCAGGGCCTTGGGGAAGGGGCAGGGCTAGGGTGTTCAGTTTTGTGAGATTAGAAAGTTGGAAACCCTAATTGCAGGCCTTCAGACGCCTCGTGTTGGTCAATTGTCATGCCTGAATTCTCCACCAAACAGGGTCTACTCACCACTGGGCCTCCCCTTTGTGGCTGCATCTGGGGATTAGCTCTGCCTGGGCTGAGGCCCCGTTCTGTCACTTGCTGGTGTTGCAGCCCCTTTTGCTGTCTAGGAGTCGCAGTGCTTCCTCTCCGAGGCCTGGCTTTCTGGCCAGGACACTATACAGTTTTCCCCTCCTGGAGTAACAAAGTCTCATCAGATCTACTGTCTGGTACTATTCCACACAGTCTTCCCAATCAAGACTGTGCCACTTCCACAATAGCTGGTAGGGAAACCTGGGCCTGCCCACAACTCTGTGTTCCAACTCAGGGACCTTACAATCAGCAGCCAAGTTCTGCATCATCTCAACCCTTGCTGCCATTTCCATGGGCTTCTTTCTACTCTGCCCTCTTTCTTGGCTTTCTTCTCCAACATCCTTCTGGGTAACTCCTTACCACAATGTGTGGATCCCCAGGCATCTGCTTTACCCCTGGGTTTCCTCCTTCACTCCTCCCAAGACCCAGAGAGTGACTGCAGACTTCCACTCTGTCCCCTCTTCTGCTCTGACTTCCTGGCTTTATTCAAGCCTCCAGATACTCCTGCCCGGATGGGCTACATCTTCAATTAGTGCTTGTCATCAAGCCTTAATCTCCCCCAAGGTGCAGCCTACCCAGCTAATTAGCCCTTCTGAGCCACCTTAACCCCTCCATTGTAGTGTGGGGTGAGCACCCCATCACAGAGGACTTATGGCCATTAGGAACAGCTGGGCTTTCAGAAGGATTTTGAAGGAAAAGAGAGAGGGCATGAGGTTTATATGGGGTTGGGAGGCTGAGGCATATGTAGGTGAGGGAGAAAGGAGTGGACAGAAAAGTCAAAGAGAGCAATGAGGAGAGAAGCTCAGGGGGAGTGTAGGGAGTAGGACAGGGTGTAGGATGAAATGAGGCAGAGCTGGTGGAGCAGAGTTAATACATGAGAAGGAGACCCTTGTATTTAGGGCCTGATCCAAAGCCCGCTGAAGTCAATGGAAAGCGCGCCATTGATTTTAATGAGTTCTGGATCTGGGTATTAGGATGGGAGAAGAGTTTAAGACAATCAGAGATTCAAGAAGAGAGTTATGCCTTGAAGCCTGACTAAGCCTGAGGACAGACCATAGGTAACAGAACCAGAGGAGGATGGGACAGCAGTAGAAATATATCCCCCGAACACTAATAGAGTGTGTCTAGACACCCCTTTAAAATGATATGCTTTGGGAGCATCTGCCCCTAGCGTTCTGCTGCCAATGCCACCCACATACATCACTTTTAAAATAGCAACCTGTGACTCCACATTGTCAGACTCCCTGATGGATGAGAGGGTTAGTGAAGATAAGCTGGCCTTAGAGTTGTATATATTTCAAGCACTGGGAGTGAGGAAAGTAAAGTAATAAAGCAATTACCATCAATAAAAGCTTGGAAGTGAGGGGTGGAGCTGATCCACAGAGGCTCCTTTGTTGTTGCAGCTAGGCAGGGTTTAGGAAGTGCAGTGATGCCGCCCACACTGAAAAACCACAGACACTAATAATAAACAAGGGAAGACAATGCTTAGGCACAGAAGAGGCTCAACCTCTACCTACCACCATCCTCTTGTGGCAGAGAATGCAGAGCAGCTCCCTGAAGCCTCTCTCCCCTCTGAGCCATTGGAGCGATCTCCGCGGCACTCCGGCAATGAGGATCTTGGAGGAGCTGTGGCAGAGCTGTCTAACTGTTTATAAATGAATGTAAAAATCAAATAATTTCTCCTCAGCAGGGAGCTGCATTCCTGAATGAAAAATCAGGCCTGGTCCAAAGCCTATTGAGTTTCCTCAGTCATTCTCTTCAGCAGGTTTTGGATTGGGCCCTCAGAAAATAAGGACTAAGGGCTAGATTCATACTCTACCTTGGCAAAAAACTTTTTCTGTGTCAGTGGGTGTCAGTCACGGTAGTGCTGATTCATATTGAGGAGGGGCAGGTGATGTTTCCACCAGCAGCCATTCCTTGGGGGATTATACCTTGGTAGGACAGCTTTAGTTTCCACTGGGAAATGCATAAAGCCCCCACCATAGATACTCCCCAGGAGATCAGTGATTTCTCTGGCCATGGCATCTCCCTAGCTTGTGCTCACCACATTTGGGGTTGTGGAGGCCTCCTCTACCCCATTCACCTTTACCCCAGTGCCAGTGAAATTGCAGCCTATATGTATGATGTTAACTCCCTTCTTAGTGGACTTTCTAGGTGAAATCCAGGGCAAATTCAGCACTTAGTCACACTAATTCACCCACGGCTGCCTTCATAATACTCTGTGACTGGCATTCAGGCTTATGATTCATCCACATTGGCAAAATGATTTGAGCTCCTCAGGTAGAAGGTGCTATGAAATACAAAGATGAGCCAGAGCTGCAGAATCTGGGTCTGGGTTCAGATTCCACTGAAACAATTCACAAATATTTAGATCTGAGGATTTGGTTTGAGCCCGTTGCTAGCACTTTATCTATGGTTATTGGTGTTACTATTGTGCTGTTTTACCGATCTGAAGAATCCCTACAGAACCCGGCCGCACAGTGTCTACGCTCTATTATTAATAATCATTGTTAATCATTATTATTTTATTATATTCATTTTGGGGTGGTTGTATCTAGCAAAGGGCAAACCAGTTCGAACTGTGGCCCTAAAATATGAACCCAATCAAACTTCTGCCCCAAGCTTGGACTGAACCAAAACACCAAACGTTTTGGGAGCTTTAAAGAGTTTTGTTAACTTTCCTCCTATTATGTTTCACATTCATGGCAGCCTCTGAACTTACTATCAAAAAGCAGGACGCTCCAGGAATCCTGCTTCCAAGTTTAACAGACCTACTGGGTTTACCTGCCACTAGCTGTGTCTGGGTTGCCAATGGAATACTTATGTCTGAGTAACAGTGATGAGGCGTGCATGGTGAGAATGTGATGGGCTGATCTGTTCCTTTTGCTTACAGTGCCTATACCGAGCCTTACAAGGTGTGCCCTGTCTCTGTGGTACCCGTGGAGGACGTCACATCAGACGAGGAACAGAAGAGTTCAGAAGATGAGGAGAGTAGCCAAGGGGATCCCAGCCTCGTCCATAAAGTAAGAGCTCTGGAACAATCTGGAGAATATAGGAAACACTCAAGGGGGAAGGGAAGAAAAACAAGGATGAAAACATCCTTGGCTCTTGGATATGTTTACACAGTCCATGGCAGCGAGACCCCCAACCCAGGTCGACAGACACAGGGTTGCGGGGCTCACAGTAGCACTCTAGAAATAGCTGTGTAGACACTGCTTTGAAATTGCTGCTCAGGCTGGAGGTCAGGCTCTGACCCCACCCCCTCTCTAGTCTTCAGAGCCCGAGCTCTAACCCACGCCGCAATGTCTCCACAGCTATTTTTAGCATGATAGTGCAAGCCCCACAAGTCTGTCCACCTGGGCTGGGAGGCACACTGGCGTGGGCTGTGTAGGTATACCCTCAAGTAGCCATCTCTTCCCGCTCTGTGCTTACAGCTAGCCCAGGAATATCAGAGCTATGATCATTGCATTTCTTCAGAACTATAGTAAGGAGTTACTTCTGTTGAATATGACAGAGCCCACAGACCTAAGAAGGGAAGCTGAGGCAACCAGCCAGTAGGCTCAGGTAGGTCCTGATCCAATGCCCACTAATGTCAATGGGAGACTTTCTATTGACATGAGTGGTTACGGCACCAGATCCACAGATCTGGAGTCTCTTGGAGGTTGAGGGATGACCCGTGTGATCGTTGCAATGAGATCTGATCTGAAAAGTTGTGAGCCTCTTTCTTAGTCCTGCACTCTGGGGATTGGAGGCAGGGAGAAATTGCTGACAGATGGCCAGAGAAGAGTCCATGCCATAGAACTTAATCTGCAGAAGGAAGAGAGGGGTCACAGCACTGAGCCCTCCACTTACAACAGAGAATTCCACCCTCCAGAATTTCAGGATTATGGAATTCTGCCGGTAGCCCTGCATACCCAGCTTTCCAGACTCCCCACAAAAACCTTGGGCCATTATTGGCTCATTGTGATTGATGGTGAATAGAATAAATTCCAACCCTCTGTTGTCCTTCCCTCAGAAAGTGCTGGTATAGTTAAAGAATACTGACAGTGGATTGTATTTCCTACCCTCAGCACTCCCGCCTCCTTTTGTTGTCTTCTCACGCAAATCTTCTGGGTGCCAAGGGAGCATTAGCTGCCCTGTCAAAACACAGCCTTGCAATGATGAAGGGCAGAAAAATTGTCCAACTACCCAAGGAAGTGATGTCTTCTCCCTCTTGTAGCAAAATCTTCAGACAACACAGAGCGGTTGTAAAACATGAAAGAGTTCAGAAGCACTGTCGCTTGGGGAGGGTTGGCAGAGGTACACATGTCTGGATGCCAAAAATAGTACCATGAATTTGGAAATGAGCTAATCTTGCTAAAACAACTGTTTTGGGCTGGCCTAGCAGAGCTGAATTTGGATTAAAAAAAAAACTCCAACAAGTGGAGTTTGTTGTTTTGGTTTATGGTTTCCCCCTCCCGAGGGAAAATTAGCCTGAATAAAGGCATGAAATCACCTAGCTGATAAGATCTTCTTGCTGTGTCCAGAACACATGATTCTGACTGGTGTCTAGCTGAGATATACTTACTTCACTCCGCTGAAATGTGGATTGTCAATCCCCAAGTATTATGATTTGCTTTGCACGCTTGCTTTTTGCCTGTTCATTGGAGATTTCCAAGGCTTCCAATTTGGGGTTTGGGGTGGGGGAGGTGTTGTTTTCTGTTGTTTCTTTTTTTAAGGCTCATTTTCTGAAGAAGAAAAAAAAAAGTCAGATTTGTACACAGGTTTCCTGGAATTGTTTGAACAGCTGGCCCCCTTTGAATCCCTGCTCTCCTGGGGATGAGCTCTGTGTGAATAAGAAGGAACCTTTAGGACTTGCCGGCACCTCCATTCTGCAAACAATTTAAATGATGGACAAAATGATACGTTTGGGGTGTTTTGGTGTATCCGTTTTATAAAAAAACCTAGGGCTTTGATTTCCACTGGGTTGCATAATTTTTACAGCAGTCTAACTCCATTGGACCATGCTGGAATTGGACTGGCATAAAAATGATGTAAAGAAGTAGAAAAGTAAGCCTGTCTTCTCCAAGTTTTGTTTTGGTCAGGGTTCTATAAGTGCACCCTCAATCCAGAAACCCTGGGTAACATCACTTGGTGCTTTTGATTATTCAAGTTAAAGCTGATTTTGAGAATGTGCTCTTTTTGGTTAATTGTGCACTTGAATCCCCTTCTTTAAATCTCTGGCAGATGGTATCAGGTTAGAAAACTCCCAGATGAGGATGCTGTAGTTTTTTTAACCTCTGTGATTCTACTTGGTTAAAACCACCAAAAGGGGTGCACTTCTCTTACATAACTAAGGGAGATTCTCTCTTTTTCCGCCCCCTGCTTAGCTAATTTACAGGAGCTCTGGAGTCATCCCCAATGTGCGTGCCTGCTACATATGCTTATTTACTTACATCCACCCAACTGGTAGGAAGGTGACACTTGACTTTTCTGTCGCAGACTCCGAAGGATAAACAATGGATTTTGGAGTCTTCTTTGCCTGCATAGAGGAAAGCATCAGAATTAGGGATGGCAGTTGGCAAATCTGGGTTCCAGTTAGGTATAGGCATGTACAGGTTCAAGTGAAATAAGGGATCTTTTCATCTCCAAACCTTCACTCAGTACTAGAAAAACATCCAAACCAAATCCATCCCACCATTTGAATTTGATCCAGACCTAAAATTGATGCTGGTTCTTTGTGCTACAATGAGATGAACTAACCACATAGCTGTGAACTTTAGGGGTGCTCAGATCTGGATATGAACTTGCAGTTCAGACCCCACTAGCCCGCAAACTCAAACTGCCCTCTCACTTTGCCTATGCTAATACTTTTTGCAGCTTTCTCTGAAATTCCTACTTCCAGCCAGGACCAGAAATAGACACAAGAAGATGCCTTCAGAAGGGCTGCTCTTGTGAGATAACCAGCCCACTGTTATTCTCTAGAGATTCAGAGAAGGTTTGGAGAAGCTCAAGCCTTTGGGCTTCTCCCATGCTAGCTGTGCTTTGAATGCCTCAGAGCATGTCAAAAAGCTTGAGGAGGATCCTGCACTTAGAAGGTCTGAACCATAACCCAGGTTTAAATTTAACTACTCTTCCAGAGATAAGGCCTCAGACTTTAGTGTCAGGACTCTGGGAGTCCAAGTGGGAGTATTCAGCCAGATCATCCCTCCTAGCTGCCTCTTAAGACAAGCTGCCCTCCCTGACTTGACCCCATTCCCAGCTACACCCTTATCTCTTCAGCAATCTTCACCCTGAAACTGAAGTGACTCCAAGGACAATTCCCATGAAGACAAGAGCCTCTGTGTGGTAGGGAGTCACTTCCACACTGGATCATGAAAAGAGCAAGTGAGAGGATGTTGTAGACTAGGGGTCACATTTTAAGCTTTAATAGCTGGTGGCGAATTGGAAGGGGCGGTGGGGCCAATGTTGGGGTTTCATTTGGGGAACTTCAAATCCTATGGAGTTTGCTGGATGGTTTCAGTTCCCTGGCCCCTGAAACGTCGCCATCCTTCTTCTGCGTTGTAGTGCCAGCATGTTGAGAGCTCTGTCAAGGACAAACAAAAGCCCAGTAAAGACGAAGCACTTTTCGGAGGGTTCAGTGGGGATGCACGCATCAATGTGTGCAGCTCCAACACACCCACAACAATGTGTGCGCTCTCACTGCATCCACAAAACTCCAATATCAAGCAATATAAGGCCGTGAAGCAAAGGTTGAGGGGTGTGAGCTTGTGGGGGATGTAGTGGAGATGCAGCCCCTGAACTGGAAGTTAACTTCTCCAGCCTCCTTTGTTGGGAAGCCAGGCCAAGGGAAATGTGACAGCTACAAGGCATGAGGGTGCCTCAGGCAGTGTTTTGTGATGTCTGGCTGCCTGACCCAGCCTGGGTGTCACACACATCGAAAAGGGTGTTGGTCACAAGAAAAGGCAATGGGCTTAAAAATAGCCCTAGTAGTCAATGGAAGGCATTTAGACTCAGACTGACAAGTTGCACCATTGCTGATAAGGAGCCAACCTTCCTATACAATGGCGGCTTTGGAAGGGTACAGTAGTAACAGGGTAAATATCAGCACGCTAGGGAATATTGTATCAGCATCAGCTATTTCAGTGTTCAAGGATGGTATACAGTGAATCCTACATTAAACCCCCACTCAGAGAAGAAGGATCTGTTAATAAACATGGCTGGGTGGTTGACATGAAGAATTGAAGGGATTCCCAGGAAAGATTCAATTAGCCTCGTTTGATCCTGCAATAATGTGATTGTTTAGAAAGCATCAGGATATAAATACTTAAGTGCTTTTATTGTAATACAAATAATAAAGCCATATTTTAAATGCAGAGAGAGCTACTTGCATCCACAACATGGATCTGTCTGCCAAATAACCTCAATATAGGGAAAATAAAATAGTAAAGTTGATCACATTTAACTCCTGCTTAGTGTTTCAGAATAAAAACGTAAAGTGACGCTTGGAACTATGCACAGAGCAGCACACAAATGCTGGTCCTCCCCTCACACTGGGGAAAATCAAGAGGCACTCCACTGAAGCCACTAGCCCTACAGCTGGGTACAAATGGTGTAAATGAGAGTAGAATCAGGCTGTGCCTTATGGCCCTAGACGTCCCAAATCATTTTAGCTGCTCACCTAGGACAGGGTGTTGTTATATGTGGATCCAATGCTGGTCGTGCTGGAGAAGTGGTCACCTAATACAGGTAACTTGCCTTTGTGTAATGCTAGTGGATACCTTGGCGTAGTGGAGACTTAATAAAGGAGTTTGGTAAATTATTTGATCCTGAGGGCAGCGTTGATCCTCACCGCTGATCGACCATGATCCTCTCTGAGGTGCCGGGAATGTAAGGCAGCAGTGGGACAAGGAAGGCCGTGAACCATCACAGCACACAGAGGCGACCTGTGTTGTGTGTAATGAAGGAAATATCAGGCTAGAATACAAAGGTTTTGCAAAGAGCAAGGCAGCAACCATCTCACTATTACTGAATGTCAAATTGC